GAGCTACATTGAGTTCTGTTGTTGGTGTTGCCCGATTGGGCATGGACATTGACTCATGATTTTGTTGTATCATTCTCATTTGGATGGTTACTCGGTTCCATTGTGCTATCTGCTCTGGCTTTGACTACTTGGACTTCAGTGTGATTTTGCAATTTGGATTTCTGTGCTTCGTCCATATTCATGTTCCTTGCAATTTGGTATCGGAGCTGGTTTGATCGCCACTTACCTTTGGCACGCTGGCGTTATACAGACTTGGTGCGTTGACGATGCTTCTTCGCAGTGGGTACTTGTGACGTCAGGCCACTAYAGGCGCACGCCCTGGGTAGAGAGGGGTGCGCCGGAAGGCTAAGACGGCAGTGTATGCCGTGGTGACATGCGGAATGTATGATTGGTGATGAGAGCATGCTGATGTGGCATTCAGCAGAGGTGGCACTACATTGCGTTGTGGGTGGTACCGAAGCCAAGACCGGTCATCAAATGCACACTCGGCTCAATTGGTGAGAAATTTGTGGTTGGGGGCAGCTATCTCCAGGTACGTTGTTCCCTTACCTTATCTACTCTCTCAATCTCTTCTTACCGTGAGGAAGTGAGTCCAACTTGAGAGTCCTCTCTTTTGGTGAGGTGTCGTGAGCGCGCTACCTTGAGAGACGACAATCTTCCCGGAAGCATCTGGAAGGAGAAAGGGCGGTGCCTCTGAAGGGCCCTGGTCGAAGCACTGGGTCACAGTCACCATGCCAACCCAATGGGAGTAGGTCACGCATGCGATGGCTGCTGTCCATTAAGGCACTTTGCTGCGCCAAATGGAAGTCTGCCGGGTGTGCCAGCCTGTATGAGACGCTTACCAGACCGTCTATAAATATTTCTGGTTGGGTACTTGGAATGATTCTGGCTGTGATCGTCGTCCTGACTGTGACGTTAAAGAATTCCTGAAGAGATGGGGGCGCTCTTAATAATCCTCCTGATCAGCCAGATCATCCGGGTGTAAGGCTCAATTCCATACGAGGGTAAAGAAGAGTGGACAGGCTGGCTTGCTCGGTGTTGACTTGGGCACAGGGGTGGGCCGAAATACACACGAAGACACTGCTCTGCTCAATGATGTTGTTCGTTATGTTGGATTGAGGGGAGGGGAGGTTCCAATTGGTGCTCAACTGAATACACAACTATACCCACTCATCATACATCTGTTACATGGTCTTTTTGTATCTTTGATTAGTTGGTGGACGGACTGCTAACCTCACAGACAGATTAGAGTAGGACTGTTGTATGCTACCATAGCCAGTTCTGTCTAATGCTGCTGTAAGAGAACCAATCAGAGTACATCTAGACTATGTAGACAATCTGTGTGAATGTTGTAGAATGCCACATGATTCGATACAGTAGGGGACTCGCCGGACACAACTATATCTAGAAAATTAGGTGTCGGTCAGATACATGCTGCGGTAGGATTTCATTAGGGGACTCTAATACATACACTATCTGTCTAACTAATGAGTGGGTCAAATCCTGTTGATGATAGAGCTGACAGTAGGAGACCAACACGTGCACAGGCGCTAAGGGTACCACACGTGTACCAGGCCTTGGAAGCGGGAGAAGAAAGACGGCTACGTAGAGCCCGTGCTCTAGCAGCAGGACTACAGGAAGCAAACAGAGCAGCAAGAGAGCAGGCAACAGCAGCCAGAGCAGCTGCGATGGCTAACGGCGCAAGCTCTACTGCGTCATCGTCTGCGTCCTCGTCAGGGACTAGTGGGACTCAGTTGGGAATGCCACTGAGTTCCACAAGTTCCACGGGCACTTCCGGTTCAATAGGGCCTAGTCAGTCTTCTAGTCAAATGGCGGGCACGCAGTTCAGCCCGTTGACCCCACGTGAGAGGGAGCTCAGAGAGATCCAGCAGGTCGAGAGGCTCCGCCATAAGTTAGTGCAGGACCTGAAAGATGCTACCGATAGAGAAAATGCGATGAAAACTAGAGCAGCCAGGCTTGAAACTTTAGAGGCTGACAAGGCTGAACTAGAGGGCTTGGACGAGTCATCAATGAATGACCACATGAAAGTTCTGAAGAAGAATATGCTGTCACTGCACGCACACGTGGACAACAAATTAGACTTCATGCAGAGCACTCTAGACCAGATCCTGGATGTTTTGACAAGGCCAGGATTCCGGCCACCAGCACAATCGTCATTGCCGTTATCGGTGATGTCAGGCCCCTTTCCGGTTCAAGCTGGCACACAACCAAGTGGTACGTCTGCAGCAGTCTCACAGACTGTTGCAGCTTCTTCTTCGGGTCCAGCGGTGGGAGCTACACCACTGCAACAACAGGCTAGTCCTCAACAAGGACAGCCACAAGGTCAATGGTTCCCTAAGACCCCAATGAAACCGCCTCTTCCCTTTTCAGGAGAGGGGAGGGACGAAGAACTCAACACATGGTTGAGAACCGTCCCGGTTTATGTGAAGGCAAAGAGGACCTTGCTGGAGGAGGAAGTGGTTACTGCGTCATCTTACCTCATAGGTAAGGCAGCCAAGTGGCTAGATGGTGTAGTGATAAAGGCCGGGTACGGGAGACGTATGGCGGAATGGGCTAGTACTCTAACGTTAGACCAGTTCATGGAAATGGTAGAAGCTCGATGGCATAATCCACAGGAGGCACAAAAGGCCACTGATGCGATTAACAAGTTAGACATACGAAAATATAAGTCAGTCAGAGAGCTTACGACTACCGTTGAGAGCCTGATCCTCGTCCCAGGCGTACACTACAGCGACCAGTTCCTGTTAACTACGTTTGTCCGATGTTTCCCAGAGAACATGAGGAACTTGCTGGCTAATGAGGCACGCACTGAGTACCATTCGTTTGAGACGTTGTCTAGGAAAGCCTTAGATTTAGAGGCCACGCTAGGCAATGCTCAACCAACCTCCCATAATGACACGAAGAAGAAGAAGAGTCCCCACGAATGGAAGAAGAAGGGGGCGAAGTTGATGATGGTTGAGTCCGATGGGACTCAAACTGAGATCGATGAGCTCTCTGACCTGGTGGACTATACAGAGTTTGACGGCGAGGAGGTAGCTGAGGTAGCACACTCGCCGCAGCAGTTAAGGCTAAGGCGGCTGGCCGAGGAAAGGGCCAACCTAGGGGTCAAGGGAAGGCCGCCTCCAATCAGACTAAACAGGCTGAATGGGTCAAGGCAGGTCTTTATCAAGACGTGTGGCGTGACCGCCGAACGTGTGGCGCTTGTATCAACTGTGGGGAATACGGACACTCACAGTACAAGTGCCAGAAAGGTTGCGCAAAAGATTGCTCCAAAGATGGGGGCAACTTATTCCCAGGCTTCTAGCTCGGGAAACACGTAAGGCCAGTGGAAGTATTAGCTGCTTCTACTCAAGATGAAGTGGGATTGATACCCTCCCCACTTCATGACAAGGCCAAGGCTAATGACCCCTTAGTCACCCCGCAGACACAACTAGACCAAACTATGCTCTGTACGTTAGATGTGTCTGAGGCCTTAGAAGACTTAGAGAGTGAGTGGTCAACAAAGGACCCTCATGAGTCTTGGGTGGCGCTAAGGAAAGGTCCTAGAGGGGAACATTTCGTGGTGGAAGTCGATGTAGGAGGCCGCAAATGTGGTGCCTTCATAGACATAGGCTCCACGCGGAATTACATAAGTCGCGACTGTTTGGAAAGGCTGCACCTACAGGACCGCGTACGACACCTTAGTAGACCAGTAGCATCTACTTTGGCCAACAAGGAGCGCATGATTGCAACAGACTACATCAAGGACGTAGTCTGTACCTTCTCCTATGGAGGAGGTGAGCTTAACCATAAGATCTCGTTCTTGGTTAGCGACGACTTGCCATTTGACATGTTGTTAGGCATGTACTACCTCGAAGTTGCTAAGCCCCAGTTTGACTGGGATAAGAAGGTGCTCAAGCATAAGTTGCCCGATGGCTGAACAGTCAGATTAACTAAGTTCAAGGCCAATAGTATCATAGATACCTATGGCTGCTTGTGCGCATCAGCGTTCTACAACTACTATAAGCAAAATCAAGAGGAGGGTATGTACCTTGTGTACGTCTCTGAGAAGGGGGAGGCTGTTAAAACACCCCCAGAGATAGAACGCGTCGTTGCTAAGTTCCCTGATCTGTTCGAGGAGCCCACAATAGTTGTTGAAAGGGAAGTCGTCCACGCTATAGAAATCATTCCAGGGAGTAAGACCCCAAAGGGAAGGATCTATAAGCTGGCCCCCGCCGAGTTAGATGAACTTCGGCGACAACTTAAGGAGCTGACAGAGAAGGGTTGGATTCGGCTTAGTACTTCCCCTTACGGATCACCCGTTCTATTCGTACCGAAGAAGGGGGGTACTTTGAGGATGTGCATTGACTATAGAGGCCTCAATGCCATCACTGTGAAGAACGCAGAGCCTCTACCTCGCATAGACGACCTATTGGATAGGGTGCAGGGATGCAAGTACTATAGTAAGATAGACTTGAGGACCAACACAAGACAACTTTTCACACTCGTTATGGTCTGTATGAGTTTGTAGTGATGCCTTTCGGTCTTTGTAATGCGCCGGGTACGTTCCAGCACGCTATGAATCGGATCTTCCATGACCATTTAGATAAGTTTGTCGTGGTCTACCTTGACGACATTCTGATCTTTAGTAAGTCTGCCGAGGAGCACGCACAACACGTTGAGACAGTTCTCTCACTCCTGCGACAGCACAAGTATAAGGTCAACTTAGAGAAGTGTGAATTTGGTCGCACTAAGATACTATACTTGGGTCAAAGTATCTGCGGAGGGGATTAGGCCGGAAGATGCGAAGGTGGCTAGTATTCGAGACTGGCCACGACCACAGATAGTCACTGAGGTCAGATCATTCTTAGGAATGAGCGGCTACTATAGGAACTTCGTGAAGAACTATTCTACAGTCGCCTCTCCTTTGACTGATCTAACTCGACTTAACACGCCGTGGGACTGGAGTGATGAGTGTGAGGGTGCTTTCAAGAGATTGAAGCATGCACTCATGAATCATGAAGTCCTCATGGTTCCCGATCCGCAGAAGCCATTCATAGTGACCACTGACGCAAGCCAATATGGCATTGGCGCAGTGCTGGCTCAACAGGATGGGAAAAAGTTGAGACCGATTGAGTACATGAGTAAGAAGATGCCATCAAAGAAGTTGGCTAAGTCCACCTACGAAAGGGAACTCTATGCTCTCTACAAGGCACTTGTCCATTGGAGACACTTCCTTTTGGGAAGATTCTTCTACCTGAGGACTGATCATCAGACCCTCAAATGGATCAAGACTCAACCGGCTCTTTCTGACGCACTCAAGCGATGGATTGAGGTCATAGATCAATATGACTTCAAGCTTGAGTACTTGAAGGGAGAATACAACAAGGTTGCAGACTACCTAGGTGCGCTAGTTTCTGACTTTGGCGTATCTAATGAAGTAACTCAATCATTGGTGGGAGCCTATCAGGAAGACCCTGTCACGATGGACATCATCCGCAAGCTTCAGGCAAAAGACAAGGCCACGGAAAGTGAGTTTGTGATGGTGGATGGGTTACTCTATCTTGATAAGGCCGGAATAAAGAGATTGGTAGTTCCATCAAATGAACAGTTGCGTAGTTTGTTTTTAGGCGAATGTCATGACGCAACTAGGCACTTTGGCTACAAAAAGATGAGTGCTAACTTAGTACAGCGATTTTGGTGGCCCAGAATGTTAGATGACGCAAAGAAGTACGTTGAGACCTGTCAGGTCTGTCAGCAGGACAAGCCGCGAACTCAAGCACCGCTTGGGTTGTTGAAGCCTTTACCCATTCCTGATGGTTCAGGATTGAGTGTTTCCATGGATTTCATGGACACCCTAGTGACCAGCAAGAGTGGTAAGAGGCACATTTTCGTCATCATCGACCGATTCACCAAGTACGCTAGACTAGTACCAATGCCAGAGACAGCCAGGAAGGAATATGTCATCAAGTTGTTCAAGGACAACTGGGTAAGGGACTTTGGTTTACCAAAGACCATCATTAGTGACCGAGACTTCCGATTCACAAGTGAGATATGGAAGAAGACTGCGGAACAGATGGGCAGTCAACTTCAAATGACTTCAGGGAATCATCCCGAAGCCAACGGACAGGCCGAACAAATGAATAGAGTTGTACAGCACTTGCTGAGGCATTACATCAAGCCCAGCCAGGATGACTGGGATGAGCAGTTACCTCTCATTGCCAGCCTGTACAACAATGCTATACATAGCAGTACTGGCGTTAGTCCTAACCAACTACACTTGGGATGGAAGCCTAGATCAGCACTAGACTTCCTCCTACTTGAAAACCGACCTGCTGCAACTCCAAGCACACTTGAATATGGTGTGCAGTATGAGAAGTTGCTGCAAGAGGCTGTTGAACACATGAAGAAGGCTTAGCAAGCAATGATTGCTTCAAAGAATCAACATATCAGACAGTCCACATTTCAGGTAGGGGAACGTGTCTGGGTCAAGGCCAGTGAGTTAGGACAGGAATTCGGAATATCTCGCAAACTAATGCCTCAGTACTTTGGTCCCTGGGAAGTCTTGGATGTAGTAGGAGATGAGTTGGATGGTCCCCTATGTCATTCGTGTCCCTGGACACCTACGCACTCACCCAGTCTTTCATGCCTCAAAGCTTGCACCTTTCGCTGAGACTGATCAATTCCCTTCCAGGAGATCAATGCTGCCCCCAACCATGGATGGACAAGTCGACATCGACGACATTGTGGATCACAGGGACATGCCTGTTGCAAAGCCGCTGGGTCGAGGAAGACATCCTAAACCCAAGAGAGAATATCGCGTCAGATTCAGGCATCACACGGATCCCAAAGAACATCGGTGGTTCACCAGGGAGGAACTGATTGAGACAGCTCCTCAGGTGGTGGCAGACTATGAAAGGAAGCTGAAAGGGAAGGCACCTGCGAAGTAAGCATCTTAGCGGACTTTCGAAGCTAAGGGGGATGGAATGTGAGGAACGAGCCCTCAGATGGGGCCTGGCCGAAATGCATATGTTATGGGCATAGGCCCCCAGCAAGCCATGTGCCCGCCCTAAGTGAAGGCGGGCCTGCCTGTGACCGCTCTAAGTGAAGGCTGGTCCGAATATCCACGTACAGACCGTTCTTTCAACATTTCTGTAAAGTGGGTATGCGACAGTTGCAGCACGCCAGTTGGTTGGTGTGCATCGTGGATCCCAGACTCCTGCGTGAAGCAGTTGAGCCCAGGGCCTCAGTTGGTTGAGCCCTGGGCACAGGCCAAGAGGCCGACACATCACACATTGGACGCTGGCCAATCAGAAAGCAGCATTGTCGTAGTAAGGCCGAGCGTACCAATGTGGAAACTGGGAAATGTCT